GCCTGCAACAGCCATGGCTGGGAATGAGACTCATGACGGTAAGTGTGACCAGTGGAATCCATCTGCTAATGCAGGGAGGCTCAGTGACTGATTCCCATGGTACATCCTAACTAGACGGGAAAGCTGAGCTGACTGTCTTGTTAAGGCCCAAATGGGTCTGTTTTGTAGGCAACATGGAATCCCCATTCCCAGTTTCCATTCTGTGTTGTGTTCACTGATGACATAGCTGACTTAAAAAAATAAATAAATAAATGAAAGCCTGAGTGAGGCAGACATCAGAGCTGGCCTGGGGGCGACCAGGAAAGCAGAGGACGCCCTCTTCTCCTTCCTTCACAGCTAATCTGGCCAATCGGCCTCCCTCTGCAGCCAGAGCTGGCTCCTCTGCCGCTGGTACAAAGAAGAATTCAGGACAAAGCAAAACGCTGGCTGTTGAGCAACTCAAAATGCAAAAACCGATTTTCACCTTGAAGCCATCCCAGAAAGGGCTTTTTCCTTGGGCCTTTCTACAAGAGTTTTAATTATACAGATAGAATCAAACACTGGAAAAATAACAAAGGACTCAGAATCCGAGCCACCAGAGTTAGGGGAGAGCCAAGCAAGAGAGACCAGTCCTAATTGAAATATATTGAAAGTTGTAATGAATCTTATCATCCCCAAAGGCATTACATGTCTTTCTCCAGCTGGTCTAACACCTGGATTTCAAAACAACTGGAATTAAGGACCTGGCTGAGGTTTAGTTTGGCCAGGTTTGTTACGAGGTGACTGGGGCCAGGGCCACGAGACAACAGGACCAGAGCCCCTGAGAAACCCACATGAGGGAAATCCAAACCACATCCAAGAATATTGATGGCACAGAACTCATTTAGGAAGGATGACCGAGTCTCTATAATCAGGTCGCAGGGGTCTTTCAAGGTTGCCTTTCTCCTATCCTGGGGGAATCTTGTTAAACTTTAGCCCCTTGCTCCAGAAACTAAATGAGCCAGCTGGCCATCGGAGCTCAGGAATCCCTATAAATCTGCTTCTTCCCCGCACCGTTCTAGGCCAAAGCTTTCCACTGCAGGGCTTAGCTGAACACAGCCAAGTTACCTGAGGGGGAATACAGTGGGATGCTGTGATCCAAGGACGACCGAGGTGTGCAACTGTTTAAAGCTGAAGTCACACTCACCCTCAGCTAGGCACTAGGAATTAATGGAAAGAATATAGCCGAAACACAGAGACCCATCACTACCTTCCCCCTCCTGAACCCTCTCAACCCGCTTCTTTCCCCTGCCTAGACTATTACATCAGAGGCCCATCGATGCCTATGACCTCCTCAGAGCACAGCTCTTAGATCCTCTTCCTCATACTTGTTTGAACCTTCAGATCCAAGCAAATAGGAGAATGCACTCAGTCTTTCCGCAGATGAATGGATTTCTTCTGGGATTCTCCCTGCTCAAAGCCAGGTAAAGGACAAAGCGAAGCCAATCGATGGCCTCTTCCCCACACCCACACCCCACATGCCAAACCTGTGGTTGTCTCAGTCACAGCTGGTCATCTAAAGCATAGATTTAGTCTTAGCATCACCTGATGCTAGCCACTCAGCTCTGTCACCCCGATTACCCAAGGACCAAAGGTTCACTCTCAACATGATGCAAATGTTGGCTTTCTGCAAGACACCTGACCACTTTTCACTCCATTAGTAAGCTTCTCTTTACAGATCTGCACTAACTAAGCCTTGCTACATATATCCACATATGCACGCGCATACGTGCACAACTCAAGAGAGCAGGAGATTGAAGCAGTTCTGCTGTGCACAGTAAAATACTAGAGAAGGAAAAAAAACAAAAAACCCAAGCTGTTATTGGTTTTGGCACTTAACGATGCCTGTGGAGTATATAGACCCTTATATTAGTATTCAACTTCCCTCAGCCCTCACAGGCTGAACCCAGAATGTGGTCACCCTGCTCCAATGAACCATCTGAGTTCTGTGAATTAAAAAGGGCCAGCAGAGGTCAGTTAACAGCCAATCCAGGTTGCGCCAGTTTTCCTCTTTGTTTCTTTGAATATATGCTGCATTGTAAAAATGATCATTTTTTAATTGCATTTTTTTCCATCCAAAGAATAAGATGGGAAAAAAAATTATGTTGTACATTTGAGTAGAGGTCCAGCACCAAGTGCACCGGGGGGCCCAGATGGGGAAAGTGCACATGGTTTTTTAACATTGGCAATAGCTCAACCTTTGTAATTCTGCCCCCCTCCCCATGAAGACTTCCCCCAAAATGACCAAACCACACAACAGATTTGTACTCACGAGGCTCTAACAGGTCACTAAGACCACAAAGTTCTGACGGAAGAATTGGATCCATTCCTGAGGGCAGGAACCAGGAGAGACGTGAACACTTCATTTCAGATGGCAGTCTCCTACTGAGTCTCCTCCCTGGGAGAAACAGCATGGACTAGAGCCAGAAGGCAAGATCAAAAATTACACCGCTTCTGAAATGGTATTCTGTTAAATCACGGGGTTGGGGGAAAGGTTGGGGTGGGGTGGGGAATGATACACATGAGGGTCCCTATTCCACTCACTAGATCACAGGAGGAGGGACTATACCCTTCTACCTGAGCCCGCCCACACTGACCCCCCTGGGTCCCCAGCATTGCCATCCACTGACACCAATCACTCTGGTTCAGACTGGGCCCAGACAAAGCTGCTTCCAGTCCAAATTCATCTCTCATTGAAGACATCCTTACAAGACTGAGGTAGACTGTGACAGAAGAGGAAAAAAAAATCATCACACTGCATCCTCCTGCAAATTTTTCATCAATAAAAATTGACACTTTTTGATTTCTCAAGAAAACAAATTTTTACAGTGATTTATATTATATTAAAATAAATAAATTTTATTTTCCTAATAAGAAAACCTTTTCTGAATTAGAAAAAACGTGAGAATACATCTCTCTTCTTTCCTGATAATGTAGTGTTGAGCTGCTCACTATATCTCCAGGCTACTAGGGAAAACACAAATCCCTACCTGGATCTCCTGGTGACTTTTGAGTACACGCCCCCTTCCATCTGCACCTTTGTCCAGTCAGACCCGTGACAGTCTTTCAAGGGCTATGAATTCTATGCTATCTGTGCAAGGGGAAATCCCCCGAGTCTTAGCCACAGGCTTGGCCCAGAGTTCTTTTTCACCTGTATCCCTGACCAAAAAGTTATGAGGCTGGAAGGAGGATCATGACTACTTTTCAATCCTGTTCTTAATCACAATTTTGGGAAGGGAGAAGCAGCGCCCGGAAGCCTGCGGTAACAAGGCCACGGAATACCTGAGAACAAGTGGGCAAGCAAGGGAGCATGGGGAAAGGGGTGCCGGGGCCACCACAACCTCAGGGGTGATCGACGGGAGCAACCTTCCAAAGAAACCGGAAAATGGATCTGCTCCATCTGAGCCGCCACATTGACCCAATGAGGAACAGCTATGGTTGAAGCGACGCAGATAAGTCATACTACATGGACATTAAAGCCTGTATTTCACACCTCACCCTCCATCTACCAGCCTCTACCTTTGCCAAGCTCCAGAACAAGATGGCACCGCCCTGGCCACACCAGGGACTCAGTCACCATCTGGGAGAGGCTTGGAGCTGTTAATTCCCCACCCACCTGCATCAAAAAGAAACACAGACGTGAGATCAGAAGTGAGGACAGTGAGGACAGGATGGTTCTGTCATGACTGACATCTATTTTCAGATGCTCTCTCTTCAGACATTTGTTAATATGTGTCTATGTTGTTTTTTTTTTTTAAAGTATTTGGGCTGGGGAGGTGGGAGGGTGGGGGTGGGATTCTCCTGCATTTAAATACTTTTCCTCTAGTATTTATGGAAAACACATGAGAGAGAGGAAGCTGGACAGGCATGGAGATGAAAGGGACATTTGAGAGAGGATAGAAAAGGACAGAAGATGAGATGGATCCAGGAAGAATGGGGGTGGGGGGAGGGAGAGAGAAGAATGAAGAAGAGTAGCAAAAGATAAGGAGAAAAAAGAAGAGAGGAAAGGTTGGGAGAGAGGGGACAATAAGAGGAAAGGAGGTGGAATGGGAGAAGGGAGGAAGAAGAGGGAAGAATGGGAGAAGAGACAGAGAAGGAGGAGGTGGAGATCAGTGTGTGACACACCTACCCCTGCTGAGGCCTCAGCTCACAGCTCTCGGTACACACACACACACACACACACACACACACACACACACAAAATCAGGAACCTATTTCTAAAGCCTCATCAAGTACAAACTCAACTTGTCTCCTGGCTCCTCAGCTTGTGATCAGCTAAGACCAGTTTATTCTCAGATCAATGGGCCATTCTCAGACCCAAGAAACCACACCCACAGAACAGACCAAAAAAGCCCAAACCTAAGAATCAAAACTAGCCAATAACTTATATAAAGTTAATGTTTAAAACTTAAAAAAAAAATTAAATATGTTTAAACCCAACAAAGGTGTGCTCCAGGTTGCCACGGCGGGGGGTGAAGGGAGGAAGGGAGAGCTGGAGACCTCCATGCAATTGACTTTTTTCCCCCTGGTTTTCTTTTTGGTCTTGAAAGGATCCCCAGCTTCAAGCTGAACCCCACTTTTCTCCCTCCCCAGCCCCCCAGAGACCCTGGCTCCCAGAAGATGCAATCACCAAACATAAATGAGCAAGTGAGAGAGGGAAGGGACAAGCATGAGGGTCTCATAACAAAAACCATTGGTTTGGGGGTACTGTCACCCCAGCAAACTGGAGGAGGAGAGGCACATGCCCCCAAGGAGTCCAAAGCCCCCATGAGAATGATACAAGAGTCTTCCATTGATGTGTGTGCACTGAGGGAGACACACGCCTGAGGTACAGACACACAACACAGACACACACATGTGTGCACACTCACACTGGCGCACACACAGAAGCGCACACACTCGAGGGTTTCAGACCCATGAAAAAGTGTGAGAGCAGCAGCTATTGGTCAATCTGAGGAACTAATATAACTGATTTGTGTTTGTTTTTTTTTTTTCTTAAAAAATATTCTTCAGTCTTAAACAAAAGAAATGTTTTCTGGGGAGTATCCTGAAAAGCCTGGAATTATGCTGGAAAAGGATTTGTGTATGGGCTTCTTTGTGGCTTGGTTGGGTCCCTCCACCCCCACTTTTGAAAGTTTTCCTTTTTGTTTTTGTTTTTTTCCCACAAACAAGTGCTTTGCTTGGAGAAACCTGGACCCTGGCAAAACGTCCTGTGCTCACAAACACAGCCGGCCAAACTTCTCTCGCAGCTCGGGAGCTTGCCGGTTGGGAGCGGTGGGGACCCGAAGGCCAGCAGCCCCAGGAGGCTTTCCCCCAGGGCACGGCTTTCACAGTGAGGTCCACAGACAGCCAGGCACGGCCTCGGTGGCGGCCAGTGACAGAAACGAAACTCGGCACCCGAGTCATGGGACAGAAATGAGAAGGGGGTGGCAGGGGCAGGAGGGGGCAGGTCTGAGGCGTGTGTCAGTCACACGGCAGCAATCAGAGGAATCCTGAGATTTCCCGGAGTGGGGCGGGCCGTCCATCCGGTGAGAACATCGGAGCCCCAGGGAGAGGCTTAAACACTCATCCCCAGCAGGGAAACGTTAGGAAGGGTTCGACCTTGGCAAGGAGAGGATGCGTCCGTTCTTCTTGCCCCCGTTCATGTGGGTATAAGGAATCCGCTCCTCATAGTTCCCCTTAAGGCCCAGGGATGGCCCATTGTCCCTCCCCAGGACCTCATCCCTCTGAGAGTAAGAAGAAGGGTCCAGGGGGATGCTTTCCATATTCTCAAAGTCCATCTCAAACTCCTCACTTTCGGGGGGCTTGTTTTCCTCGCTGTAAAAGAAGGAGACCTCCCGGAAGCTGGGGTGGAGGTCGTCTTTCAGCATCTCGATGATCTCGATGAAGGTGGGGCGCATCTTGGGGTTATACTGCCAGCACATCTGCATCAGGCTGTTCCTGGAAAAGGAGAGAAGGAGAGAAAGAGAGAGAGAGAGACAGACAATCCTTTCAGGCTGATTACCACGGTGCAGCAGGAGTCAGAGGCCCTGAGTTCAAATCTTAACTCGTTCTCTTAATAATGCCTTGACCGTGGCTAAGTTAGTTTACCTCTACTGAACTTGGCTGCCTCATCAGGAAGAAGCGGGGTGATGCAGAAGGAGCCCTAGAGATTTCTCTCCAGCTCCAAACCTATACTCCTAGGATCGCCTCCTTTCTGTGTGTACACAGACTCCAGGACTCCAGGGGCGCCAAGGTGGCTCCTTCCTGCTGCTGCTAGGATTCCATGGGGATCACTGACTCTGCAGCGTGTGAATGGGCAGCCCACAGGGCAGGACTCTCCAGCCAGATTCAGGGTAGGAGAGGGCACGTAAGCCTAAAGCATTTTGACGCTGGCAAAGCAAATTGTAAGATTTGAAAACAAAAGAAATAATGGCTGTTATTTTGGCTTTCTGGGGGCATCAAGTCGAGTCACAAAATGCAGGAGGACATAACTAGAAGGCCCTGAAAACACACAGTGTGAGAGTAAGGATGGCCCTTAGAACACAGAATGTTAGAGATGGGAAGGCCTTTAGAACAGAGAATGTCAGAGCTGGGAGGACCTTTAGAAAAGAGAATGTCAGAGCTAGGAGGGCCCTTAGAACCCAGAAGGTCAGAGCTGGGGGGGGGCCCTTAGAACAGAGAATGTCAGAGCTGGGGGAGCCCTGGGGGCGGGGCCTTAGGACATAGAACATCAGAGTCGGGAGGGCCCTTAGAACAAAGAATGTCAGAGCTGGGAGGACCTTTAGAAAAGAGAATGTCAGAGCTGGGAGGGCCCTTAGAACACAGGATGTCAGAGCAGGGAGGGCCCTTACAACACAGAATGTCATAGCTGGGAGGGCCCTTAGAATCCAGAATGTCAGAGCTGGGGGAGGCCATTAGAACAGAGAATGTCAGAGCTGGGAGGACCTTTAGAACAGAGAGTGTCAGAGCTGGGGGAGGCCATTAGAACACAGAATGTCAGAGCTGAGAGGGCCCTTAAGACATGGATAAGCCAAGACAATCCTCTCACTTTACAAAGGAAAAAACTGGGACCCAGAGAAGGAAAGAAAATGGAGGCAGGGAAAGCTAGATGTGAAATCCAGGCTCAGATGCTCACCAGCCATATGTCCATGGACATATTGGAAGGTATACCTATACTGTGCAAAGAGGGCTGGATCTGGAGACTGAAGCTTTGGGTTCGAATCCTGGCTTACTATACTTACTATCTACATACCTAGGTCAAATGACTTGCCCAGATTGGGCTTTCTTTTTCTTCCTCTGTGAAATGACAGGGCAGTTAAGTTCCCCTTCCAACTCTCAATCTTTCATTCTCAGTCTTTCATTCCATCTCAGCTTTTCCCGTCAAATGGGAATAATAAATGACTTCTACCTCCTAGCTATATGAGGCTAAACCTCCTAGCTATATGAGGCTAAACCAAAACGCTGAGTCTCACTTTCTCCATTTGTAAAGCGGGGATAATCATACTTGTGTTAGAGCAAAGGGAGCAGAACTGGGAGAACAATTTACAGAGTGCCAATACCACCACGGAGAAGAACAATGTGGAGAGACTCGAGAACATTGATTCAGAAGGCTGAAGAAGAACATCATGCCATCCACCTCCAGAGATGATGGACTCAAGGTACAGAATGGCATGTATATTGGGACAGAGTCAATGGAGGAATTTGTTTTGCTGGACTATGTGTATTGACTATGATGGTTTAAAAATTTATTTCTATTAAAGATGGAAGGGGAAAAGAGAGGGGAAAAACAAGCATTTATATAGTGCCTATTATGTCCAAAGAGCTTTACAAATATTATGTCATCTGATCTTCACAACAACCCTGTGAGGTAACTGTTTCTAGTATCATTTTACAGATGAGGAAACTGAGGCAAACAGAGGTTAAGTGATTTGCCCAGAGTCACACATCTAATGAGGAGAGATAATAATCTGTAAAGATACCTGTAAAAATAATCTGTAAAATTAAAAAAAAACTGTTAAAAAACTGTAAAAATAAGTTTATTCAAAAGTTATTTGCATTATCTAACTCCCAGGGTGTTGTGAGAGTCAAATGAGATAATGCATGTAAAACTCAATTGATATGTTTTTTATTATTATACCTGCCTCATAAGTTTGCTGTAGGGAAAATACTTTTAAGAACTACAGAAATGGGAACTATTACTGCAAAAAAGGAGAAAGGTTAATATAATTCAAACATGCCCATTTCTTTTGTCAGGGCCCATTTCAATCTCTGCCTTTTCAAAATACTTACACTCTCTCTGGACAGTTATCAGGTTGGTCCAGGTACCCTCCATCCATCACAAATTTCAGGACCTGCTCATTAGACAGGCCTTGGTAAGGCTGCTCAGCCAGGCTGCTGATCTCCCACAGGACCACGCCAAAGGACCTGTGAGTAAAAGCATGAAGGCAGTGGTGAGTAGGAAACTCCCAGAGCTCAGGCCTTCCCGTGGGCAGCCCCATAGCTTGAACTCTACCCTCTTCCCAACTCATCACTGAAGTCCACAAGGTACTGGGAGACCCTAGGATTGGGCAACAGACCCTTATCACTTACCATACATCCGAATAGGTAGTAAAGACGCCATCTTTTAAAGATTCTGGTGCCATCCACCTCACTGGCAGCAAGCCCTTGCCCCCTTTTCGATAATAATCTGTCTCATAGATGTCTCTGGTCATCCCAAAGTCTGGCAACAAACAATTTAAAGGTCATTAAAGAGAGAGAGAACTCGCAGACAACTCCCCTCATCCCATTTCCCCAACTCACAGACCGCCACTAATCTCTCCTCTCCCAACCACAGGCTCTACAAAAAATCTTGAAAGTGACTCATGTGGGGATCCGGGAATCAAGCCTAGACGTAGACTTGGTCGTTTTAATTACCTGATCATGTTACTCCGCTGCTGGAAAAATTCCCCATTGCCTCCTGAGTAAAGTTCAAATTCCTCTGCCTGGCATTCATGGCTTTCCACGATCCAGCCCCGTACTAAGCTTTTTAGCCTTATCTTCTGTGACTTTCCCCAAAACACGCCGTGAACTTCTCCACCTTTCCTTCTGCTGCTCCCTCCTCCTGGAATGTCCTCCCTCCCTCTTCACTCTATGTTTCCTCTCCATTTTGTCTCCCTCTGGAAGCCTTGCCCTCGTCACCTGTTCAATAACTACCATCCCACTCCCACTCCCCCTTGGACCCTGATTAGTGCTTAGCACCTAACGTTTACATCACATAATATTGTCTATTATTGGTAACTGCATTTGTGTCTCATATTTCCCTATGAGGCTAGGTGCTTTATGAGGGCAAGGGGCCCAGCCCTAGACTTGGGACCATGGGTAATGTTGGAGCTGACCCGCTCACGAGAGAGCAATTTTCAGTTAAATTTTCAGCGTGAGCATTTACCTCTCAGAAATAGGTAAACCTAAATCAGGACTTGATTTATTGTTTTGTTGACTGTCTACCAGGGGTGGGGAACCTGCAGCCTCTAGGCCACATGGGGCCCTCTCGGTCCTCAAGTGTACCCTCTGACCGAATCCATTTAGTCAAAGGGCTGTACTTGAGGACCTCGAGGCCGAAGGTTTCCCAGTCCTGGCTCTAGACTTAAGCGCAGATTTTGCTGTTAGTAGGGTTCCCCCCCGCCACTCTAGGGACCTAGTTGTTAAACATTTACTACCTCACCCTTCCCTGGAAAGGATCTTAGAACCCATCTGTTCACAGATCCAGAGCTTCATTCTGTTTCTGACACCCTGGATTTTGCCGCTATATTTCAGCTGCCTTCTCATCCTGAAACAACCCTTCATTCCCCATCTGGCTCTTCTGACTTCATGGCCCTGCGTGGGTAGCTGGCTACCTTCCCTACCTCCATCAGCCCTATCCCCCTTGCTTTTCAGCTCCCTTTTGTGTACGGTCTTCTGCTGTCAGAATGGAAGCTTCTTGAGGGCAAGGATTGTCTCTTTTCTCTCGTATTTATATCCCTAGTTCTTAGCACACTGCCTGGCCTATAGTAAGTGTTTAATAAACGCTTTTTGCTTGTGCACCTGCAAGGAAACTTACAAGTCATTTAGTGTAGCCTCATTTTGCAGATAAAGAAACTGAGACCCAGAGAGGTTCATTGACTTGCCTTGGGTCACACTGGGAGTAAGCAGCAGGACTAGACTATATTCTCTAAAATTTTCCTCTCTCTCAGATTAGAACACAGTAGGTGCTTAATGACTGTCTGCTGCATCACAAGGAGCCACTTAAATGCAGTCCCATCTCAAATCTGGTCTCAGATGAGATTTTTTTATTCTCCCGAGCCCCAGCAACCTACCTCCTATCTTTACAGTAAAGTCTTCGGCAACCATACAGTTTCGGGCAGCAAGGTCTCTGTGAACAAATTTCTTGGCATTCAAATAGGCCATGCCATCCGCAATCTCCACGGCCATCTGTATGATCTCCCGGAGGGTGGGGGGAGGGCGACCAGGGTTGTTCTAAAGGGAGAACAGGTGGGTGAGTGGAGTAAAAACTCAGCAGAAATGGGTCAGGAAAAGGTTTTGCTTCCTAGGCTCTTTTTTTGGACCAACCGACCTCTGCGTCTGGCCGTAGGGAGCGGAGGTAACTCTTCAGGTCTCCATGCACCATCAGCTCCATGACCACCAGGGTGGGCTGTCCTTTGGAGACCACCCCCAAGAGGCGGACCTGTGGGGTGAAGACAGACTGGGCTTAGGCAAGTGTCCCTGGGCAGGGCTTGGGGGGTGGGGTAGGGTGGGCAAGGGAGAAAGAAGAGTCACAAAACCCAGAAAGGCTCTCAAAAGGGAGAGATGCATTGGCTGAAATGAACTCTCTAGTCTGTGCCAACTCCATTTTCCTTAGAATTCAGATCTATGATGGTCATTGTATTACCTTAGGTGACTTCCTTCTTTCCTCTGCCCTTGGTTGCTCCATTTCCTTAAGACCATGAGTTACCACTGCAGGACAGGGCCCAGAGAAGTGCTTTCTCTGTCTTCTATAGGCTGAACTCCCTACATAAAGTCAGTGCCTGGATCTGGTCCTCTTTAGCCTCCCCTAGACTGGGAGCTCTCTGAAGGGAGGGCCTGGGTCTGCTCCTCTGTCCCCTACCCTTTACTTCTGAGGTGGGCTGGGCACAAATTATCTATTGAGGGATTTTCTCCCCACCACCTATGACCCTGGATTGGTAGCACTCTCTCAACGCGTCTTTTTTTTTTTAATTATTTAAAAATTTTTAATTTTTTTTATTTTTAACATGTGTTTTTAAAACTTTGGGTTACAAATTTTCTCCCTTCCTTCCTCCCCACCCACCCTCATTTGAAAAGGCAAGCATGTCGATACAGGTTGTACATGTGTAGTCATGCAAAATACTTCCATAGTAGTCCTGTTGTGAAAAACTAAGTATATTTCCCTTCATCCTATCCTACCCCCCATTTATTCTATTCTCTCTTTTGACCTTGTCCCTCCTCAGAAGTGTTTGCTTTTGATTATCCCCTCTCCCAATCAGCCCTCCCCTCTATCAACCTCCTACTCTCTTGTCCCCTTTCCCCCTTATTCTCCTGTAGGGTAAGATAGATTTCCATACCCCATTGTGCATATTATTCTCTCCTTAAGCCAAATCCTATGAGAATAAGATTCACTCATTCCCTCTCACCTTCCCCCATTTCCCCTCCACTGTAAAAGCCCTTACTTGTCTGTTTCATGTGAGATATTTTACCCCCTTCTCCTTCTCCCAGTGTAATCCTCTCAATGCGCATCTTAAAGCTACCGTTGGCGAACGCACTTGAATGCCACTCACCACATGATGGCAGCTGAAGCCCTTCATGACGGAGGCCTCATTCAGGAACTCAATACGTTCCCGGAGGCTGGCAGATTCATTCACCGTCTTCACGGCCACACGGGTCTCGGCCTCCCCCTTGACGATGTCCTTGGCATTGCCCTCGTAGACCATGCCAAAGGAGCCTTGGCCAAGCTCACGGAGGAGGCTGATTTTCTCTCGAGCTACTTCCCACTCGTCTGGTACATAAACTGCAACAATCCACAGAATACCCCTGGCGTTTGTGGGACATCCATGGCCCCCTTTACAGGGCACTAGGCAGTCACCGTCACCCCGGAATCTCACCGCCACCCTCTGAGGTTGGGACCATTTTGTAGAGAAAAAAACAAAACAAAACACTAAAGCCCAGACTTGCCCAAGGTCACACACCTAGTGAGGGTAGGAGTAGAACCCAGGTCGAAATCATAGACTTAAAGTACAAAGAGATCTAGAGGCCATCCACACCAATGCCCTCATTTTACGGAGGCCCAGAGTGATGCCCACATTCATACAGCTACTAAGAGGCAGAGTCACGAGTGGAATCGAGGGATTCCTGGTGCACTATCCTCAAGCCTGCCTCTCATGATTACATCCGCTCAGTCAGCAGTGGTATCTGAACTCGCACCTCTGGGGAGAGTGAAGTCTAAATGGGTGGACCCTTCTCTCCTGCTCCTGGCTCCTGCTCTGCCCAGGGGTGAGCTGGTGTAGATGGGAGTTAGGGAGCACAGGGGTTTTGCAGAAACAGCAAGGTGGGAAGGTGATAGGCCCACATATTTCATCTTTCCCCTCTCATCGCTCACGGGTAGATCATCATTCATGACAGACATTTTCTATTCCCATTCTAAATTTAGGATCCAATGATATTGGAGGGCAACCTCTAGGCTTCTCATGCATGCTCTCAGGCACAGAGAGGGTGAGATCTCTGGCCTAAGGAAGGAAGGGCTAGAAAACTAAAAGTTGGCCAACTTTGTCACCCCTCACCCTCTAATCATTCCTTAAAGAGAGAGGACATATATGGATTGGGGACACACACACACACACACACACACACACACACACACACATACACACATGCACGGGCCCATGCATGACTCAGTGGCAAGGAGAACCAAATCTGACAAGTCTTCTAAAAACAACAGCCCACATGTCCCCACGCAGCGAGGCACTCACCATCACTGGCACTGAGGTATTCTGGATTGGAAGACGCGAACAGAGGGCCTGTCGGTCCTTCCGTTTGCCTGGAACAACAGGGAAGGAAAAGCCCAAATGGCTGCAGGTTCTGTGTGGAACCCTAGAGGTTGTTAGGTTCTCTGGGGAATTCTGAAGGTCATATATTCCTCCTGGAACCCTGGGGTTCATGAGACTCCTCCTGGAAGTCATGGGGTCATAAGATTCTTGGTGGAACCCAGCAGTTGGTGAGATTTTTGTTGAAAAGCCCTTGTGAATTCATTCATGTGGATAAATCACTCCAAATTCACTAAGTTTTTAAGGAACCCTGTGCATCATTCAGTTCTTTGGAGAGGGGGAGGGTCCAGAATCCTATAAATGACTCAGTTCTTCAGGGAATGCTACAGACCACTGGATTCTTAACGAGAGCTCAGCATTCACCAGGTAGGTGGATCCTGGAGGGCGCACATTTTTCAATGGCATTCTGGAATCTCCAGGTTCCTTAAAGACACATTCATTTTATGGAGGGCATAGGGATAGGAACTGAAATCCCAGATGAGGAAAATCCTTCTATCAAAGCAGGTCAGAACCTTCTCTGTAACTTAGACTTTTAAGAGAGTTGCCGAGGGCACTGAACATTGAAATGACTTGTCCAGGGTCATGGAGCCAATAGGGGATAGAAGTGGGATTTGAACCCAGATCTGCCTACTTCCCAGGACAGCTCTCAACCCACTACACCATACTGACTCATTGGATACCCTAACCAAACCATAAATTATCTTTCCTTTCTCTGACCTCCCAAAGTGTGGCAGGAATACAAAGGGCTATTCATTCTCTTCTATTCTCTAGTATTGTCCTTGTAAAATATGGCCTGTTGGTATATGTTTCACAGCCTCCTTGTAACCTCCAAGGGGACAGAGGAACTATTTGTCCTGAACCATCGCCCAAACTCTACATACACAAGGCATTTAATAAATGCTTGCTGAGCAAATGCATGGCTGAAGACCCTTGGGTCTCCCAGTGGAAAGGCACTGGTCAGCAGCTGGAACATGAGGCCCAAGAGGCAGGTTTGGGGCTTTGGGTGGTAGCTCGTAACAACTTGATCCCATGGAAAGTGAACTGTTCATTACTTGGGTTTTCTTGTCTGTGTTAGTATCTGTGTATATGTGTACTTGTTGGGGGCAGGGGGGGGATGTTGTCTCCGTGTTACCAGAACAGTATCTATCCTTTTCTTCCTAGACGACTTGACTCTTTTTTCAAATTAAAAATTTTAATTTCATTATCTTTCTCATACCTCTTCTTCACAAAGACATAAACAGCTGCAACCGTGCTGATCAAGAAAACGATAATGATGACTGGGCCAATGACAATTTTTGCAATATTCGATGGGACATCTACTAAAACAAACAAACAAACAAAAAAAAACAAATACAAAAGGTAATGTTCATACAATGTCAATTTAGAGTCATAGAGACCCAGGTTCAAAACCTATCCCTGACATTTAACAGCTGTGTGACCTTTAACAAGAAAGTCCATCTCTCTCACACTCAAGAGGAGTTCCCTCCTCTTGGAGGTGAGAGGCTTGGACTATCTGGTCTCTAAAGTCCCTTCCTCCGTAGACCTGAGGAGCCCATGTCCCAACACTGTTCACGCAAGCATCACTGGTCATGGATCCAAATATGCCTGCTACCCACCTGAAATTCTACCTTCTGCAAGATGTCTTTCTTGGTCCCCCTTAATGCTATAGCCTTTCTCTGAAATTATATCATTCAATCTGTATATAGCTCATTTATACATAGTTCTGTACATGTTTTCTCTGTCATTCAAATGTAATATCCTTGAGGACAGGACTTGTTTTTGCCTTTCTCTGTGTCTCCAGCACTTAGCACTGTGACTGGCCCATAGTGGGTGCTTTTTGATTGCTGACTAACAGACCAAAACTGCCCTAAATCTGACTTCTCTGCCCCTGGGTATTGTCTCTGGGGAGTCTCCTCATGAGTCCCTGATTCACAGCTCAGGATCTATCAATGTTTCCCACCTGGATCCCACAGATTTGCACAGTTAGAAGGAGCTTGAGACATCACCTTGTCCAACCTCCTGAAGTTACAGGCAAGGAAACTGAACTGAGGGTGAAGTATTTGGCCCAACCACAGATCTTGTGAGCGCTAGGCAGGGTAGCAGAGTAGATAGAATGCTAGCCTTGGAGTCAAGACCCCAGTACGAACTCATGCAATTGTGTGACTCTGGGAAAGTCTCTTGGCCTCTCTGAACCTCAGTTTCTCTCTCTTTAAAATAAGGATATTAGATGGAAATGCTTTTCACAATGTTAAAAATGTTAAAAACTGTTTAAACACATAATTGAGGAAAAAAATAAAATGTTATTAAAAAATAAGGATGTTGGCTAATAACTATAATACATTATAATAAATTAATAATATAGTATCTAAGTTCACAAGACCACTGTAAGATTCAAGTGAAATACTGGATGTAAAGTATTTTGCAACCTGTAAAAGTCTAGAGAAAAGCTAGCTGCTACTATTACCATTGTTAGCAGCGTTATCATTAGTGAACAGTCAGGCTTTACAGTTTGTGAAGCATTTTCTTTACCTAGATTGGCACATTTGATCCTCACAAAAACTATGTGAAGGTGGTGCAATTATTATCTTCATTTTCTAGATGAGAAAATTGAGGCTAACAGAGACTAAGTGGATGGCTTAGGGTCACATCACTGGCCAGTATCTGAGGCAGAATTGGAACTCTGCAGACTCCAAACCCATCATGCTTTCTACTCTTATCACGTAGACTCTGTGCCCTTGTTGTCCATATATTTGTCTCTAGAGAGTTTCTTGGCTTCAGTCCAGCTTCAGTCCTGCCTCCTACAGAAAGCCTTCTCTGAGTATACACACACACACACACACACACACACTCACTCACTCACTCTTCTCACAGCAGAGACTGTCCCAGTCACTCATCTGGCCGTGATCACACACACCTCTCCCAGGAGATCGTGAGATGGTCAAGCAAAGGACGGGGTCTTAGAAGGGTTTACAGCCTCCTGGAACACAAAAGGCAAGTGGTTCCTGATTGACAGAAGGGACTTACAATAATCTGCAACGTAGAAGTAGGTGTGCTCAGTCCATGAACCATTTCCAGCTAAAGAGGTAGCTCGAATGCGAACGGTGTAGTTGCCTGGCTGGAGACCTCGAAGTCTACAGCCCTGTTCGTGGGCGTAATGTTTGCGAGAAACACAGAGATGCAGCTCCTGATTGGGGAAGGGGTGGGGAGAGATAAGGGTAAGAGGAAGAACAAGAGAGGAGAGGTTATCTTTTGTTTTTCTGGTTTCAGTGTGATCCTACAATCTGGCCACCATGAGCCTATACACATGAGGCTGCATGGGCACCCAAATCCGCCATTTTGAACAAGATCAGGGATCAGCCCCATGGGAAGTGGTCAGGCTCCCTCGAGCCCCCACTGAGCAGGAAGATCTGATAAGAAATACACCGAAAAATCTCAGAGCAGTTAACAAGGTTGGAGATTATCCAACAAATACCGATATCTATCAATCCTGTGCTTTCACATTCACATATCAGATCATAAGACCACAGATTTAGATTTAGGGACTCTACAGGTCTGCGAGTCTGACTCCCTCATTCTACAGCAGAGGAAATCTGAGCCCAGGAGGGGCAGTGATTCACCCAGGGTCACAAAAGGAGTAAATAACAGAGCTAGGATCTGAACCCAGGGGCTCCCAACTCCTAAATCCAGCACTCTATTCACTATACCTTGATGCTTCTCCTGGAAGGCAAACAAGGAAGGGAGTGATTATCCCCATTTTGCAGATGGGGAAACTAAAGCCCAGAGGGAGGAAAAGTCTGCCCAAGGTAACACAACAGTAGATCAGTGGAAGAGCTGAGACTCAGACCTAAACTTCCTGACCCTCAGTTCAGGGATCTCTCCATTAATAATGACAACACCGACTGCACCGTTTTTACGGGTGTTTCAAACTTTACAAAGTACTTTGTTCCATGAGGCAGCTTGGTGGCAAAGTGGAGAGAACCCTGCCCCTCGAATTAGAAAGATCTGAATTCAAATCCCGATTCAAACACTTAATAGCCGGGTGACTGTGCATATCATTTAATCTGTTTGCCTCAGTTTCCTCATCTGTAGAATGAGGGTAATGGCAGCAGTTAGTTCACAGGGTGGTTGTGAGGATCAAATGAGGTAATAGTAGGTGCTATAGAAATGCTTATTCCCTTCCCTATGAGGGAGTCAGTGCATATTCCCATTTCACAGATGAAAAAATTGAGGCTCAGAAAGGGAAAAATGATTTGCCCACAGTCATATAACTTGAAAAAGTATTAAAATACTTTAATCAGGAGTTCTGACAACAGCAGACCCACATTAATATAGCTGTTTAAGTTCTATAAACCACTTTACACAGATTACTTCATTTAATCCTCACAAAAACCCTGTGAGGCAGGTGCTATTATTTATCTCCATTTTATAGATGGGAAAAATGAGGTCAAGCAAGTTGAAGTAATTTGCCCCTGGCCACACAGCTCGAAAGTGTCTGAGGTGGGATTTGAACCCGTCTTCCTGACTTCAACTATATTGCCCCTTCTGCTTATTCCACACAGTCCTCTCCACACAAAGCTGCCAGCGCCTTCATTTTAGAGAAGAGTTAACATAAGCTCAGAGAGGGAAAGCCACCTTCGCCAAAGTCAAACAGTGAGTTAACCAATAGTCAAGTCAGGGGAAGAACCAGCTTCTCCCAGAATCTCAGCCTAGGGCTCTGTCTATAACCTCAGGCTGTCTTCGAGGGCACAGCACAGAGTAACTACTGCTTAATAAAATGGTTAAGTGACTAATTGAGTGGGTCAGGGCTAAGAGAGCTAGGTATCCAATGGGGAGCGACAGAAAGGAAGGAGAGCACCCCCCCCCATCTCTTCCCCATTCTTCCCAGGCTTCTTTCAGGAAACCAGAAAGGTTCCTTTCTTCCTTTATGGGCTCATAACCTTATTAAGACCATGGTGACGCCAGTGGCAAGAACCTCCCATGAAAGGGAGAGGTGGAGAAGGAAGGAAAGCATCACCACAAAGGTCCCTATTACAGTGTGCAGGGGCTGTAAGAACTCTGGTCTGGGTTCAAATCCCAGCTGTGGCACCCTGGGCAAGTCACTTTGCCTTAGTTACTTACTAACCTTATCTGTAAAATGGGGCTGAGGACTCCTCAATTATCTAGGTTATCAAGTTTTCAGGAACAGCTCTTCATAAGACATAAAGTCTGTGTAAAGGGCAGCTACTGACTCACTCTCTCCTAAGACGACCTTCCACCTTTTCTCTCTCTACATTTTACATGTGCCAGATTATTTGCTTACAGGGTATCTTCCTTCATTAAAATGTGAGCTCCTTGAGGGAAGGGACTGGGTTTTTTGTTTGTTTGTTTGTTTTTGCATTTCTTCATACCCCCAGAATTTAGCTGAGGATACTCCACAGAGGGTCTGGCACAGAGAAAGCACTTAGATCCTTGTTGGTTGACCTGCTGACTTCAAGGTAATGGAGCTGAGATGCCCAGGCCCACGCAAGAGCAGAGGTCAGGTGGAAAACATGAATGGGAGACAAAAGAGCCTGAAACTCACCCCATGCACACAGCATGTGACCCTGATCACCAGCAAGAAAATCAACCAGAAAAACAACTCTGTTCAAAGGTTACACTCTTCCAGGTAGAGACCAGAGGACAGAGGCTGAATTCAGGGCAGATACTAGGGGCAGCTGTCCTGGAACACAGCCCTGGGGGAGGAAGACTGGGTGAACAACGACAAGGAGGACTAGTCTAAGTTTTAAAGCTGAAAAGCAGCTAAACTAGTAACTGGGCCTTTTGCTTTAGGGCAATGAACACTGGATTTGGAGTCCAAAGTTCAAATCCCAGTTCGGCCATTTACCGATCTGACTCCATCCCATCTTCTCTACATCACCCCCTCTACCATACCCATTCTCTCATTTATCTTCAATCTTTCCCTTGTCTACTGGTTCCTTCCCTACTGCCTACAAACACACCCATGTCTCTCCTATCCTCAAAAAACTGTCAATTGATCCATTCCTACTAACTCAGTTCAGTCATTTTTCAGTTGTGTCTGACTTTTCATGAACCCTATTTGAGGTTCTCTTGGCAGAGATACTGGAGTGCTTTGCCATTTCCTTCTGCAGCTCATTTTGCAGATGAGGAAACTGAGGCAAACAGGGTGAAGTGATTTGTCCAGGGTCACACAGCTGGTAAGTGTCTGAGGCCAAATTTGAACTCAGATCTTCCTGGCTCCAGGCCCAGTGTTCTATCCACTTCATCATCTAGCTGCCCCTATTCCCAACAACTATTATACTATATCTTTTCTCCCTTTTATGGCTAAACTTCTTCAGAAGGCTGTCGCCAATCAATGCCAAACCCAATGGCCTTTTCTCAGCCCTCATCCATCTTGACCTCTTTGTGGCCAAGACTCTCTTAATCACCCTCTTCTCCTCAATACTTCCTTCTTCCTAGATCTCTATGACACCGTCCTCTCCTGGCTCTCCTCCTATCTTTCTCAACACTTCTCAGTCTCCTTTTCTGGATCTTCATCCTCCAGATCATGTCTGTTAACTGTGGGTGTGTCCAAGGGCTCTGTCCTGGGCCATCTTGTCTTCTCCCTCTATACTATATCACTGGGTAATCTCATCAACTCTCATGGATTCAATGCTGATGATTCTCAGATTGATTTATTCAGCCCTAAGCTTTTTCCCAGCCTTTAGACTCATATCTCCAATGGGTTATTGGTCATCTAAAAATGGAATTCCTGCAGACATCTTAAACTTAGTCTGTTCAAAACTTAATTCGTTAGCTTTTCATTATCTGTCCCCCAAAACTCTCCCCCTTCTGCACTTCCCTGTTACTGTTGAGACCACCACCATCTTCCCAGTTACTCAGGCTCAAAACATAGGTGCCATCTTCAACTGCTCACTTTCTCTCACTCCCCATAACCATGCTGCTGTTGAGTCCTGTCCATTGTACCTTTGTACTATCTCTAGTAGACCCCCCCCAGCCACTCCTCTGACGCTGCTGCCATCTCACACCTGCACTATTTCGATAGTTTTCTGGTTGGTTTCCTTGCTCAAGCCCCTCTCCCACTCCAGTCCCGCTTCCACTCAACTATCAAATTAATCTTCCTAAAGCACTGGGCTGACCATGTCATCATTCCCCTAATTCAATAAACTCCTGGGGTTCCCTATTACCTCCAGAATCAAATATAAAATCCAAAATCACATATAAAAATAAAAAAACGTAAAATATATAAAACATAAAATTTGACTTTTAAAACCTTTAATAATCTGGCCCCTTTCTCCTTTTCTAGTCTTCTTATACCCCATCCACCCCCATATACTCTAACCCAGTGATACTATCTCCCCGGCTGTTCCTTGCACAAAACACTCCATCTTCCAACTCCCCCCCCCACCCCCCAATGTCTGGAAGACTCTCCCTCCTCATCTTCCCCACCCCCCACTTCCTTCAAGTCCAAGCCAAAATCTTATTGTCTCAAGAAGCCTTTCTTACTACTTCTTTCCAGTTTATCTTGCCTGTATCTTGTTTGTACATAGTTGTCTCCCCCATTAGACTGGAAGCTTCTTGAGGGCAGAGTGCATATTTGTTTTTCTTTGTATTCTCAGAATTTAGCAAGGTGCCTGCCACATACCAGGTCCTTGATTAATACTCATTGATTTGACTTAGCCCATCTCTGAAATGAGAAGGTTAGTTGAGATGTTGAATGTCCCTCTCTTTAAGTAAGATCAATGAAAGCAGGGGAGGCATTTCCCTAAGAAACACCCTTTGATGCAACCTTTGGTGAAGCGGATAGAGTGCAGGGGCCAGGAGTCAGGAAGATCAGAGTTCCAATCCAATCTCAAACACTTACTAGCTGTATGACCCTGGACAAGTCATTTAACCTCTGTTTGCCTCAGATTGCTCAGTTGCAAAATGGCTATAATGATACCACCTGCCTTCCAGGGTTGTTGTGAGGATGGAATGAGGTAAAATTGGCATGGTTAGGTGTTTAATAAATGCTTGTTTCCTCATAATATTCCCCCCAACCCCAGTCAGCCACACACAAAAAAATCTTGGGAACAGAGTAATTTAGTTTCAGGAGGGATTTATTGTGACCATTATTCCTAAAAGTCTCCAAGGCCACTATATATGAAACCCACAGGGGCCGAAGGAGGAAGTTGGCTTAAAACTCAGAGCCACAGAAAGTCACAGGTGGGAAATGGCTTAGAGCACTGATGTCAGAGCTGGGAGGATTCTTAGAAAGGGGTTCCTTTTTTTTAAATTATTTTTTATTTAGTATTTTATTTTTCCCCAGTTACATACAAAAACAAATTTTAACATTCAGATCAGGGGTTCTTAATCTAGGGTGTGTAAACTTTTATATCTATATATAATTGTATTTCAACATAATTGGTTTCCATTTTAATCTGATGTATTTTATTTTATGCATTGAAATACCTTGTGTTGAAAAGGGGTCCATAGATTTCAAATTTCCAAAAGGGTCCATGGCACAAAAACAGTTACAGGACATCACAGCCAAAACACAGGATGTCAGAGCTGGGAGGGCACTTAGTATAAGGCATTCTGACCCTGGAGTTGAGTGATAGTGAATGAGATCCTTGCTGGGACACTTACAGGCTGGGCAACCTTTGGACAAGCCATTCAACCTCAGTTTCTTCAATTGTAATATGGGGAGTCTGGACTAGAGCAGTGCTTTATAACCTTTTGTGGGTCCTGGACCTCTTGGGTACTTGGTCTGGAGAAGCCTAGAGACTCCTCCTCAGAATCATGTTTTTAAATGCATAAAACAAAATACACAGGATTGCAAAGGAAATGAATTATATTGAAATAGTTATCAATTTTTTTAAAAAAGAAAGTCATGGGTTCCAGGTTAAGAACCCCTTTACTAAACAAGTCTGAAAGACTTAAAGAACCCTTGCACCATGATTCCCAGTGGGGGAGGGGAGGAAAGGAAGAAGCATTTATTAAGCACCAACTATGTATAAGGCACTGTGCTAAGCATTTTACAATTATCTCATTTGATTCTGATGAGGAAGCTCCTGATAGATAAGTGGGGGCACTTGGGGTGCAGATTGAGACATATTCTTTGGACATGGCCAACAGGGAAATTCATTTTGTTTGACTCTGTATGTCGGTTACAAGGTTTGTTCCTCCAACATCACTTTCATCAATGTGGGGCAGGGAAGGGTAGGATGGATAGAAAATTTATTTTTGTTCATTGAAAAATTTTTTTTAATGTACTATATAGACTACTGTAAAAAAATCTAAACCTTCTACTAGATAATCCCTATGGTTCCTTGTAGCTTTACAGCATAATAATAATTAAAAAAAGTCATTTAACCTCTCAGTACACCCAGGAAACTCTTTAAGCCTATATATTGCAAAACAGTTACCTATCTGTGTCAGTAGAGGGAGCTTTCTTACTGGGAATTCCCTGTACAGATAAAATCATAGGTACAGATTAAAAGAATCCTTTGTAAATACTTTGATGTGCTTGTGCACATGTAGAAATGTAAACTCCTGTGAAATGTAAACTTCTTGGAGGCAGGGAATATTTCTTCTTTTGTATTTGCATCCCTAGGACCTGGGACAGTGCATGGTACATTTTATTTGTTTTTTGTTTTTTTGTTTCTATTTATTTATTTATTTTTTTTAGCCTGGTACATTTTAGGCACTCATTAAATGCTTCTTTAATTGAACATATGTGTACTAGATACCTCCCTACTCTCCCTATGTAGAATGTAAGCTCCATGAGGGCAGAGACTGCTTCATTTTTATTTCCTTATCCCTAGTGCCTAGCATAGTGTCTAGCACACAGTAGGAGCTTAATAAATGCTTATTGAGTCACTGAACACATGCCTAGCTTTCCAACCTCCAGTCCCCAGGTCCAGGAGTAGAAATAGGAATCATGGAAGGTATTACTAGATGAATGGGAAACTGAGTGAGGATATGTCAATGTTATAAAACATATAAAAACAGGAGTCAGTGGTAAAGACAGGATTCAAATCTTTACCTCAGTGTCTCCAACACGCCAGTAATTGACTTCATACAGAATAATAAGGCCATTGGGATGTTTAGGCTCCTGCCATCGCAAATGGACAACGTTCTCAAGCACTTCATGGGTCACTGCACCGACAATATCATCAGCTTTGGCTAGAAAAGAAAAAAATCTGAAGGTCAGAATACCAAGAGAATAGAAGGGTCACAATCAGTCAACTGGAAGACCAGGGAGGAACCCTAAGAAGTCCCTTGGCCTGGCCCCCATTCTTAAACAAAGGGGTCTATGTGAAGGATCAGCAGCTGTTTCTGCTTCTGTTTTGTTTTGAGACTAGGTCTCCCTATCTCATTCAGGCTGGAAGTGAAGCACTCACAGGTCTGATCAGCGTGGGACCCTGTTTCTCACCTGGGCCAGTTCACCCCTCCATAGGCAGCCTGGTAGCCTCCCATTCTTTGGGGGTCACCACATTGGTTCTGAACTTAGTGTGAATACCTACCAGCCCAGCTCTACTGTAGCTCAGAACTCCTGAGCTCCATCCATCTACCAACCTCATCCTCCCAAGTAACCTGGAGGCATTACACACAAGCGGTGGCAGGATCACAGGTCTAGAGCTAAAAGGGAACTCATAGACATCTACTTCAACCCCTTATTTTATGGATGAAGAAAGAGAAGTGATTTGCTCAAATTAAATCCATAATAAAAACAAAGTAGGTATTTATGTTAAAGTTACAAAATTTTGGAAAGTAACTTAAGTTGTATACTTCACATCAAATTACTTTATTTGATGTAAAATAAATATCTAAAAAGTAAAATAAATATCTAAAAAGCTTAGGGATCATGGCAAGGATTATGAGATGAATGGGACATTGATTGAGGATGCATCAATGTTATAAAATATACAATAACAGGAGTAAGTGGCAAAGCCAGGATTCAAATCTAGGTCTTCTGTCCCTACATCTAGTGTTCTTCCTTTGTCTCTTTGTTTTTATGACCCTGCCTGGGAAATACTCATCATTTCCTTAACCAAACAACTTTAACAACCTTTTCATGAATTTACAAAGGAGATTAGCAGTTATGATCTTCAGAATGCTGAAAGAATAAAACCACCCAGGTTAAAAAAAAAACAAAAAACAAGCTCCCTTTCCTCTGGGACTCATTGGTGGAGAGGTGCGCAATGCCGCACACATGAAATGGGCCTTGGGTAAATGTTTGTGGAGTGAGTCAGGGAAGAAGGGAATGAGATCGTGCATCACAGAGGAGGCACACGGAAGCTGACTTGCCTTCAGGCATGGTTCTAGCGCTGACATAGGCGGCGAGGCCACACCTGGACTCCTGCTCGTCATGGTTGCATGCCTGGAGCTCAATTCTGTAACCAGTAAAATGCTGAAGGCCGGAGATGACCAGGGACTCCTTAGACTTCACCTTCTCGAAGGGCTTTGGTTCCTCCGTGCTGGCAGGCGCCGTCGTGGAAGAGGCGTTGGAGAGCGAGGACCCCGTGGGTGTCACCACGGTCATGTTTGCCACACGAACCCGGAGATCCCTTCGCCTCCTCGCCGGCCTGGAGCAACACACATACACACCCCACACGTCTGTGTGTAGTCCCCTGGATGGCGTAGAGGACACAGTTCACTCGGCACAAGAAAGGTTAAAACGGACGGATACAGGGGAGAACGGACACAACCAACACAACCCTTACACACCAAAATACAGACAGCCCCCAAATGAACAAGCAGCCTAGACAGGAGTAAGCTACTTCAGTGTCTCGGACACGACTAGTCAAGGGGACTGGGTCCCTCGGTCAGCCTGGCTTCAGTATCTCCCATGGGGAGCATACCCTGGGCCAGCGGGGGAGGGGTCTGTGTTCTCCTCCTGGGTTTGTCCATTACTGCTCTGAATTTGGCAGTCACAAGATTACAACATCCTAAGTTCACGAGTCAGTATCCTGCACCAAGAGCCAGCTATCACTGTCCCCAAATTTTTTTTTTTGGTGAGGCAATGGGGTTAAGTGACTTGTCCAAGGTCATACAGCTAGTAAGTACCAAGTGTCTGAGGCCACATTTGAACTCAGGTCCTCCTGACTCCAAGGCTAGAGCTCTATCCACCATGCCACTTAGCTGCTCCCAAAATTAACTCTTAAAAACTGTTTTCGGGGCAGCTAGGTAGCGCAGTAGATAGAGCTCTGGCCTTGGAATCAGGAGAACCTGAGTTCAAATATGGCCTCAGACACATGACTAGCTATGTGATTTTGGGCAAGTCACTTAACCCTGATTGCCTCACTAAAAAACAAAACAAACGAACAAAAAAACCCAGAAACTGTGTTTGCCAAAGCCCTTTGGTACTACCAGCCAAAACATTTCTCCTCTAAACATCCTGAAACCCATCTGCTAAACAAGACAAATCATTTAGGGAACCTAACCTACAGAAGCTGGCATGAATCTGGGAGCCTGGCAACCCTGACGGTGCCATCAAATGGCAGTTCCTTTAAACATCTTTCCCTGACAAACACATCCCACCACTTATCACATCAAAGAAATACACATGCAGACTTTTTTGCACAGGAGCAGCAAAGTGACGGACTGGCAAAAACTCGGCCAAGAATCTGGTATCATCTAGACACCTGTGATGCTAATTACTGATATTGCTAGTAGCTGGCTCTGGAGCTGCACAGGTGCAAAATATGCCTGGTCCCAGCAAATGGGCCATCTGCCCGCATGCCTGGGAGCTTATGCAAAAGGCCCAGCGACTTCAGACTGTGATTTCACCAACCAGCCATAGTCAGGACCTTGCCCAAGAAGTATGTATGTAAGGTATCGAAGGCCCTGAATATTGAAAGGCTTCTGGGAGAAACCAAGATAGGGTGTGGGCATGGAGAATGATGAGGGGAATTCACATTCTTAAAGCACATTAAGCCTTGCAAAGGGCATTTCACATAACAACTTTTTTTTTTAAGGCAATTGGGGTTAAGTGACTTGACCAGGGTCATACAACTAGTAAGTGTCAAGTGTTTGGTCTGAGGCCGGATTTGAACTCACATCCTCCTGACTTCAGGGCTGGTGCTGTATCCACTGCCCCACCTAGCTGCCCTCATATAACAACTCTTCAAAGCAGGAAAGATGAGTGTTATTTATTTGGGGATTTGAACTTGCAATTTTTTGTGAGTGTGGGGGACTCCCAGTCTGGAAACCCCCTCTGCCAATACCAATTAACATCTGCTCTCCATCTTTAGAGACTCTGAGGTCGGCCCTTTGTCTGGGAGGCATCACTACCTCTCACCTTTCACATGCAGGTATGATTACTATAATTACTAACCACATTTTACAGATGAAGCTTCAAGAGGCTAAACAAATTAATTGCCTACAGGGTCACAAAACTAATCAGATGCTCGTGGCATCATATATCCAGAACTGGAAGGGACCTTAGAGGTCAATCTAATTCCACCCCCTCACTTTACAAAGAAGGAAACTGAGGCATAGAGAGGTTAAATGTCACAAGGTCACATAGGGAGCAAGCAATGGGGATAAGATTTGAATTAGGGATCTCTGGCCCCAAAGTCATTCTTTCTATGGCCACTACCAGCTTCCTGTTTTCTATTATGGTTGGCTGCCTCTAACTTTGCAAACAGCAGATGCTTAATAAAATCCTATTGTGAAAGGAGCAACAGCTCCTATGCAATTCTGTAATCCTTAGCTTACAAAGAGCTTTTCTCCTCGACATCTTGGGAAGCAAGTAGCACAAGGGAGGTAAGTTTCTCTATAATACAGGAAAGAGCTAGAAGGTGAGGGGATTTGTCCAGGGACACATAACTAGTAAATCTCAAAGGCAGGATTTGAATGCTGGCCTCCAGCCATCAACTGCACTAAGTTAAAGGTAACAATTGCTGGGTCATGAAAAATAAAGCTACTTGCCACTGAGGCACAAAAAGATGTTGGTTGTTTCCAGAAGTCCCAGTGTGCCAGCTATGACTCCACTTTGGTTCAGTGAAACTCCTTGGATTCCCTTTGGAAGGGGTATCTCTTTTGGGCAGCGATTTGACCAGCTGCCCTTAAGGGGAAGTCTCACCCCACTCAGAGAAGACATGACTCTTATAGCCTGGACATTCTCTCACCAGTCACCCAATGACAATTGAGAGGCCAGTTCTGAATTAACAGCTACCTTCTAATAAAAAGCTATACCCATTCTCCCCTTTTAAACTGAGCCAGCCTTTTCTGGCCAAAAGACAGCTTTGCATCTGACCAAAGTCCAGAATTCTTGCCATAAACTCTTGACCTCGAAACCTCCTCCCCAACCCTCTCCCCCAATGTTGTTTTGTTTTCCACCTCTCCCTTATCTTGTCATTTATCAAACTATGTATTACAGTTATCCACGTTTGCGCCCTGACCCCGCCCCCATCACCACCTCCACCACGACAGGGTTCATCCGCCTCTTATCTAAGCCTTCCATTTCTCCAGTGCCTGACCACAGGGCTCAACACACAGGAGTAGCTTCACAAACATTTGCCGTGGCTGAAAGAATTAGGCTAGCCAATCCACATACGCGTATCCCAAAGCTGGTGTCTGCAAGAGTTTTGCCAGAACCTTCACGCAGCCTCTCTCAGAGCTGATCAGTTTTGGACATTCTCTCCGGCTGTCCCCCATGCCTGCAAGCCTTTCCCCTCCTCCGCTCTGGCTACTGACCCCCTTTGCTTCCTCTAAGTCCCAACCGAAATCCCATCTGCTACAGGAAACCTTCCGCAACTCCTCTTAATTACAGTGCCTTTCTTCTATTAATTATTTCCTATTTATCCTGTATGTATGTATCTTGCTTTGTGTATACTTGTTGTCTTCTTTGTTAGAGTGTAAGCTTCTTGAGGGCAAGAACTGTCTTTTGCCTCTTTTTGTATCCCCGGTGCTTAGCACAGTGTCTTGAACATAGTAGGTGCTTAACAAATGCTTCCTGATTGATCGATTGCTGTTGAAAAAGGGCAGTACCACGCGGGGCCCACAGCAGGGGTTCAGTAACGGTTTGGTACGTCAGATGTAAGTGTTAGTGAAGCTGGTTTCTCCATCCCACCCACCCACGCACCCTGCTGCCCCACCCCAGATGCCATTCATGCGGGGTTGTCATTAGGAGAAAGCTGCATAGGAGACGCCTCGGAGCGAATGTTAGGGGGGCCCTGGCTGGTTTAGGAAGCTCCCCTGCAGGACAGCGCCAGGACATGCAAATGCACATTTAAAACCCACAACAAGTCACTAGAGAGGTTCTGCAAAACGGACATCCATCAGCCTCCCCGCCCTCCATCCACTGCCTCCTGCGGGCCAGAAAGCAAACGAGGGCGAGCAGGGCAGGGGCGGGGCAGGACAACACAGGGAGGGCAAGAGGCTCACTTCATACCTAGAGTCGTCAGCGCCATTCCCTGAGGATGCTTTTCTGTGGAAACAAAACCAACCATGTTGAAGGCAGATTGAACTTCGTCGGTTACATATCCTGTGCTTTTATTCCAGGCTGCAGAGTTTGCTCATCGGGACCACGGCTTACAGGATATGGAGCTGGAAGGAACCTGGGAGAGCCTCCAGCTCAAGCCCTTCATTTTACAGAGGAAGAAGCTAAGACTCAGAGAGGGAAAGCAACTTGTCCAGCATCACACAGCAGGAACGTGTCTGAGCAGGTATTTTATTTCAAGCCCGGGGCTCCTTTCACTACACTAGGTTCTCCTTTTACCCAGCATTCCCTACTGGCAGTTATGAATGCACAGGAAGCTACGAAGGCTCTTCCCAGGCTCACGCTGCTCCTAAAAGGGGGCACGGTTCAAAGATGCAACACAGGGAGGAGCTTAGGTTAAAAAAAAACCCTTCTGCACCCCCCACTCCAGCAACCATGTCTCCAGAAGACAAATGACAAAGCATGTCACTCATCTCCTAACGGAGAAGTCAGATGGACTCAGGGTCCAGCTAGAGACTTGCATTTAGGGACACAGCCATGGTCTCCATTCATTTAGCTTGACTGTATTTGTTTATTACAAGTACTATTTTTTCCCTCTTCTTTCTCTTGGTTCTTTGATTGGAGAGGGAGGTTTGAGAAGAAGAGGGGGTTTTCAGCAGTGCTGATACCCAAAAAATAAGAGAAGGAGGGCTTTGGAATATTTTTTAAATGCACAGAAGAGAACAGAAGGCATCCCAGAAGGAAGCAGATGTAAGCGGGGGCAGTTTTGAAAGTAATGTGTGGAATTTATTATAGACTTAAAAAAAAAAAACTCAAGTGGTATGAAATGCAAATTGTGTTCAGCTGTGTGTAGGGAGATGCTCTTTTTTTTCTTCTGATGCTTAAGTTCAAAAGAAAAAAAATAAAGAAGCTGATCTAGGAAGGCCTCAACCACTACCACAATGCAGGTGAGTAAGATAATAATAATGATAATAACAAAAATAATAAATGATATTTACCTAGTACTTTAAGGTTTGCAAAGTGCTTTACAAATTTCTCATTTTATCCTCTGGGGAAGTAGGTGCTTCCATTATCTCCATTTTACAAGTGAAGAAACTGAGGCCAGGAGCGGTTAAGTGATTTGCCCAAGGTCACACAGCTAGTAAGTGTCTGAAGTTGGATTTGAATTCAGGTCTTCCTGATTCCAGATCCTACTACTGGCCACTGAAGTCATCAGTGTAATATAGCAGAGAAGGCCCAGGAGTTTGAAACAGAGCACCTACGTTTTAATTCTGTTTCTTCCAGTACTTACTGCCTGTGTGCCTTTCCTTCTTTGGTCCTTATCTTCCTTAACTAGAAAATGAGGGAGCTGGGTTAGGTCCCTAAGACCCTCTGACCTGATGATCCTCAAATATGCTTAGACCCCAAAAGCCTAAAGCCTGACTCGGTAGTTTCTCCAAGTTTGAAAATGGATTTTGCCTTTTTAACAAGTCAGTGTCTGTGTCTACCTTCTGCTGGGGTCCCCTCGAAGACTGATAGCGACAATACAAGGGAGAAAATACAAATGAGACAAACAAGCCAATATATGTGATTACGTGAAAGATCTCTAAATTGTTCTGCATGGGGAACTCTCCCTATAAGTCAAGGGAGGATAGAGGTGACTTGACTTACCCAAGGTCACACAGCTAGTAATTCTAAGAGGCAGGAGGCCTCTGAACCACTAAACCATGCCATCTTTAAATTGCCCTTATGTCATTTGGTGTCAGACTTATGTAGCAGGTTGGTTAGTTTTCTAAATTATATTTCTCTTTTTAAAAATTCTTTGTTACAAAAGATGACTCTGTGAGTAGCAGGGATAGATTGAGAAGTGAAAGTTATTGAAAAACAAAAAATGACAGTGATTGAAAAATAAAAAGATATCAAAATGAATTTAAATATGAAAAATTCTCTACATCTGTGATTGCTAGAAACATGCTAAAGATGCTGGCATTTGAAGGAATGATACTTGGGCTTCCTCCAGATACAAATATTTTCAAGGTTTCCACTCCCTTAAGAATTGGTCAGTTCTTATGTCCAAAGGGCTATAAAACTGGGCATACCCTTTGATCCAGCAATACCATTGCTAGGTCTATATCCCAAGACATCCAAAAAAAAAAAAAAAAAAGGAAAAGGACCTAGCTGTACAAAAATATAGCAGCTCTTTTTGTGGTGACTAAGAATTGGAAATCGAAGGGATGCCCATCAATTGGGGAATGGCTAAACAAGCTGGGGTATATGATTGCAATGGAATATTACTGTGTTATAAGAAATGACAAGCAGGATGATTGCAGGAAAACCTGGAAAGACTTATATGAACTGATGCAAAGTGAAGTGAATGGAACCAGGAGAAGGTTGTACATAGTAACAGCAACATTGTTCGATGAAGAACTGTGAATGACTTGGTTATTCTCAGCAATACAATGATCCAAGACAATCCCAAAGGACTAATGATGAAGCATACTATCCACCTCCAGAGAAAGAACTGATATTGTCTGAATACAGACTGAAGCATGTTATTTTTCACTTTACTTCATTTTTTTCTTTTATTTGAGTCATCTTGTACAAAATGATGGAAATGTTTTACATAATTGAAAATGTATAACCTATATCTGATTGCTTATCATCTCAGGAAAGTGGGAGGGGAGAGAGGGACAGAATTTGGAACTCAAAACTTTAAATAAAAATGTTAAAACAATAATAATAATAATAATAAAAAGAATTGGTGAGTTCTAATAGGTATTACTTGCTATTAAGAAGCATGACCTTGCTGGCCTCACGGCTCCAAGAGAGAAAACATGGGGACGACACCTGGGGCACTAGAAATGGTACAAGATTCAGAATCAAGAGGACCTGGGCTCAAATCCCAGCACTACTACTTCCTCGTTGTGTGGGTAAGTCACATGATTTCTTAGGGCCTCCATTTCCTCCCCTATAAAATGAGAGATGGATCAGATGTTTTATCAAATCCCTTCTATGTTCTGAGATCCCATGTCTCTCTGGATGCCTCAACAGGAGAGAATAAATCTCTTCTTTACTTCATTTTTATCCATACGTGGAAATCTCTCTTCAGGAGACTAAGACTTGCAATGATGTGGCAGAGAGAAAAATAAAACAGCAACTTTAGGATGGAAGGGAGGAAAAAGAGCAGAGGGGGTAGGGGCAATCCAGGCACAAAGCCTCGGGCTGGATTCTATAAGGAGAAAGTGGTTTCTGGTATCTGTGGGGAGGCTGAGAAAGTCTGGTCAGGGAGAGAACCCACAGGAATTGTGTTTGTTGATGGAAGGAAAACTCCCCCTCCCACGTAAGCTGCCATGGCGTGTTTTGGGGTTCCCATATAAGAACAGCAGGGGCATGGTCCAAAAAGCTGAAAGGGGCCTGCACAGAAGCAAACTGCTGGAGAAGGATTACTGAAGTTCCCATTCCAAAGGATCTCAGATCTCAGAGTTTAACCAAGATCTCCTACGGTCCCCCAGCAAGAGCTCCTCTGGCCTCTGCTTGAAGGACCCCAGTGAGAGAGAACCTCCCAGTTCCCAAAGCAGCCTGCCCCACCACACAATAATCCTTCCAACACTAAAAGACATCAACCACTTCCCCTGAAGTCTCCTATTGTCCAGGCTACACATCCCCAGCTCATTTAACTGATCCTTGCATAACATGGTGTCCTATCTCTTCAGGAAGGCAGAGAAAAAGGCTGATGGAAAGAGAAGAAACAGGGTGAGAGAAGGCTGTAGAATGAAGAAGACACCAGGAAATGGGGTGAGGAAGGAAAACACCCCTTCCAGAGTCTCTCAGCACATTCCACTCCCTCTTTCCTGCCAGAACTCCCCAAGTTCAAACATCAAGATCGGCCAAAATAAACGTTCCTAGTCACGTTAGCTCCATGAACCACACGATCCAGATGGGCTACAGAGGCGATGGTCACAGCTTCCTATCATCATTCAGAGGGATGGTAGAAGATGGACAGGGCAGAGTAGCCCCACCTCCTGCTCTGTCTCTGGATGCAGGCCAAGGAGGAACTGCTCTCCTGGATGCTGTTTTATGGTTACCAGGCCTCCCTAACCATGGACTGGAATGTGTTACAAAGGACAGCACTGAACACACACAGCAGACTCAGCACCAAGCTCTGACTTCCTCTACTCAATGCTCTGACTAAAGGGTGATGCCAAGTCTCCTAGCACAGGGGTCCGGCAGCCTCAGAGAACAAGTTGAAGGGATCGTGCATCCTTAGGACTGGGCACAGGTGAATGCTGGGAAAGTCACACAAAGGAAAAAATGTTATCAAGTGCAGGATGAATCTAGCACCAGGTGGTGGTGCATTGGGTCATGGAGGGCAGGGATGTTTGGAGGAAATATCCATGGCCATGCTGACTTCCTTAAGATATACCAACCAGTTGATTCACCAGACTGAGAGAGAGAATGGTCTGCTTGTAACAGCTGTTGAATTAAAGAACTTGCTTGGCCAGAAATGACTAAAAAAAAAAAAAAGCCAACCACAACCAGAGACCTGCTATCTGCAACTTAACCAGGAGACAGAGTTGGAACGGCTAGGAAGCCTTTCCCTGTAGACAACATTTAAGCCATGCTGTGGTTGAGCAAAAATCTTCACAGACTCACATCTAACAGCTCTGAAATAGGGGACGGATGAGAAAGGACAAATGCATGCATTTCAAGGAATCTCTGCACTTGAAAGATATTCTCAAGAAGAGAAAGAGTAGGAAATTTGAGAAAGTAAAGGCATAATAGAATTCTAGGTTTGATCCCCTCTGGGAGGATGTAGGCACCTTGAGAGTAGGGACTGTTTCATTTTTTGTCTCTATATCTCCATTGCCTATCACATAGTAGGGGCTTAATAAATTCTCGTTGAATGTTAGTGAAAGATAAGCTCCTTGACCCCAGAAAGGATCCAACTGAGAATTTAGATGGATAATCTTGATGACGTCGACAAGAACGAGAAAGTTGGCCAGGTGTTGGGGGTGGGGCAGTAAGAGAGAAGAGAAGGAATTTTCTTCCAAAGACTTTTTCTCCTAAAAGTTTGTTTTGGGGAGGTATTGGAGGAAGAGAAGAAAATGATTTCTTTTTCAGAGAATCACATGATATCAGAATTGAAGAGACCCCAGTGGCCATTTTGTCAAGCCTGTACCTCAACAAAATCATTTCTACAACATACCTGGCAAATGGTCCCCTAGCTTTTTCTTGAAGACCTCCAGGGAAGGGGAGCCCATCAGCTCCCAGGGCAGCACTACTGGACAGCTCTCATATTCAGGAATGGTTACACCAAATTTAAACTGCCTCTCCTACTTCCACCCACTGCTCTTCATTCCACCCTCTGTAGCTGAGCAGAACAAATGTAAGCCTCTTTCAGGTGATGGCCCTTGAAGGCAACTATCATGTTCCTGTTCCTTCCCATCCCCACCCCCTCTCTCAGTGTGATCTTTTTCATCCCTAGAGCCTTCAAGGTTATACATCCCCAATTCCTTCACCCCATCAGCATGTGGCATGATCTTGAAGCCTTTCACCATCATGGCTGCCCTCCTCTGAACCTCTCTTGCTGGTCAATGGCCTTCCTAAAACATGGCGCTCAGAATTAAATGCACTACTCCATATTTTCCCCCCACTTAATTGTCCAATTATTGTGAATAGGCTTCTGTGGTGCTAATTAGAAGATAACTCATTCTTTAGTTGCTGATTCCACACAACAGGCCCCTTCAATTACATCCCACCATTCTCCAGGCCCACCTTGGGCTCAGAACCAAATCAATCCCCACAAAGGTGCTAAAGGGCAAGGGCATGTCTCACCTGGGGATGAAAACCTCATTGTGGAGGTAATTTTCAAACATCTTCCTAAAGGAAGACTCCTCCAGCTCCTTCAAGATCTGGGAGTCAGTCTTCGGACAAGAGCAACATTCTCCATTGGGATCCTCGTGGTTGCTCTGGTTGTGTTTCTGAGAATCTTCAGACTCAAAAGGAGGGGACCAGGTCCTGGATGGCAACTTTAACCCTGCAGAGAAACCCAGACAAGAGAGACAAAGTCACTATGGGATGGTGCTCACCTAAAGTGACTGAGTCAAGGGAGACACTCAAAGGCATTGCATTAACTCAAGGAAACCCTTTCTGACAGGTCACAGGAACTTAGACCTAGAAGGGACCTTCCTTTGAGATCACTTCATGGTCCAGTCCTCTCATTCTATAAAGGAGCAGAGCAGATTTGGCCAAGGTCACATAGGTAAGTAAGTGGTGGAAACAGAATTTGAACTCAGGCCCTATGACTGAGTCCTGGGTTTTTTCACTAAGTCACACCAACTTCACTGTCAAGGGATCAGAGCTGAGGAATGGACACCAAAGAATCCAGAACATTGAGTCAGCCTACCTAGCCTCACCAGATCTGCACCTTTCAGGAGCCACCTCCTACAAAAGATCTTTCCCCAATCCCTCCAATTATAAGCTTTCTCTTTCCTCTAGAAATTACTTTGTATTACCATATTTTGCATATACTTGCTTATGTGTGTGTGTCACATCACCAGTAGAATGTAAGCTCTCTGAAAGAAGAGACTGATTAGTTCTTATCTTTACATCCACAAAGATGAGCCCGCAGTATGTACTTAATACATGTTTGGTGAATTGAACTGCATCTTCAAAAATGTCCTCAAGCACTCACCTACCTGATTGCAGAGGATAGACCAGCCTTGGTGTCTTGACCCAGGCTATTTGTCTCTCTTCTCCCTCTTCACTTCTTTTTCTGAGAACTCAAACTCAAATGCTCCCTCCTTTAAAAGCCCTGAACAATTTCTTTCTTTTCTTTTTCATTCTCTTTCTCTTGTTCGTTCTCTCTCTCTCTCTCTCTCTCTCTCTCTCTCTCTCTCTCTCTCTC